TTTAAAGATTCCAGATTCTCCTTTATCTCCTCCATTGTGTTCTTCATCTCCATCAGTACTGACTGGTTTTTCTTTATGATTTCAATGTCTTTTGTGAAGAAACTCCTAATCTCATTGAATTGTTTGTGTTATCTTGTATTTCGTTGAGTTTTTTTATGATAGCTATTTTCAAATCTTTGTCATTTAGGTTATGGATTTCTGTGTCTTCAGGGTTGGTTTCTGGGTGCTTGTCATTTTCCTTCTGGTCTGGTGATTTCATGTACCTTTGCATTGTGGTTCCTGTGTTTGCTTTGTTTTTCCTCATCCTGGAAATACCTGGTTGCAATTTCCACCCACCGACACTGTGTGGGGGTTAAGGGCTGTGTAATCTGAGCCCCCTGCGCTCTGCCCCAGCTGCTCGCTGTGATCGGCTGGCCACTTGGTCTGGTCTGGTCAGCTGAGCTGCAGTGTCTGGCTTGTGGGGGCGGAGGGGCTCTCTCTTTTGCCCGCTGGGTCCCTGGCATGGGGGGCTTCTCACTTGCCCCTCGTTATCCACTCTCCTGGGGTGCTCAGATGTTGATGGTATCCCTGGAGCAGTTCTGAGTCGTCTGTGTGGGAGTTTCCCGCTGGCTGAGAGAGCCCGAAGAGCTACGGTTTCCCCTCAGAGGGCTACCCCTCCCCCCTCTCTGGGAGCCTTGCGGACCGGGATCACTGATCTGATGGGGAGGGAGAGCAGTTCTCCTTACCTCTCACCACTTCCTCCGGGGACCCAGCACGTTCCACTCTCAGATGTGCGGCAGTGTGGATCTTTCCGATCTTCCTTTTTGCTGTCTAGGAGTCTGTTGTTGGTATGTGACTGTTCCTTTTGTTGTATCTTACCGGGGGAAGAGTTTATGGGAAAGCTCACTCTGCCATGACACTGACGTCACTCCTGAAAACCTCTTCTCCCTTTTTGATTTGGAGTCAAAGTGCTTTTCTCACATAGGGAGTGGTTGTTTATGAGACTCAGGAGTGTGGGGCAATTGATCTGATGCCATGTTGGAATTCGCTTGCCGTTGGGGATTCCTTGGTCTTTCCAGTTGTTCCTTTTCTCCATGGGTAGTATTTGAGTGAGAAAAGCCAAGTGCTTTTTGCTCTGCTGTGGTGTAACCAACTCATTTAGTAAGCCGCTTCATACATCTTACTATACATAGTGAGATTGTTTAGGGAAAGTAGGCCAAAGCAGATTCTGTTGCATTTATTTTGGCAATAAACTTAAGAGTGTGTCCTTAGAGGCCTAGGTGTGAACCTGTCCCTATGGTCTCTGCAAATTGAAAAGTGGCTTCCAGCTGATTAGCACTTATATTTTGAAAAGGAATGAGCACTGCATTATATACAAGAGTCTGAAATGCCACTTTGAGAGAACCAACTGTGTCTCCCTTTGTGAGGCCTTAAACCTTTAGAGTTCTTGTGTACTATAGTCTCCAGTCAGCACAATGAAACTTAGATCAGACATCTCTGTGATTTCTCCTTAGTGCCGGGGAGACAACCTACAGTCTGGAACATGCTAGTGACCTCCGAGTGGAAGTGCAGAAAGTATATGAGCTAATAGATGCTTTAAGGTAAGGTTTCTCAGGTGATGTCCTACCTGCTGCCTTGAGTGGAGGAGGTGCTGTTTTAATGAGGTTGTGGGCGGCTAGCAGACGTGAGCTTACCAAGAGTCCTGGTGACAGTGGGTATGTGTGAGGAGGAGGCTGAGGAAAGAGCCAGATCTGGCACTCAGCTCATCTCAGTAACTTCTGGTTAAGGATTTCTAATGTTCATTATTATTAAAGGAATAGGAACCGATTATTAACACCAGCTGTATGCCAGCCACTGGATATCTCCACATAGAGTAGCTCATTTATTCTACCAAAGTTACCCTGTGAGCTGGGGATTAACATCCCCATTTTATAGGTGAGAAAATGCACCATAGCTAGCAAAAGTGGTAGAGCCAAGATAGCAACCTAGATTCTTTCTTCAAGTCAACAGCTGCTTTTTAACCGTGGGCTGGCCATTGGGGTTAAATCAGCCCTCTGAGGTGTAGGAAGTACAGTGACTCAGAGAACTGAAATGAGGAATCCTAGTCCATCTGTATATGCAGGACTGGCTACATAATTTGCAGGGCCTGGTACAAAATGAAAATGCAAGTCCTTTGTTCAAAATTATTAAGAATTTTAAGATAGTAACAGCAGAATATTAGACCAAGCACAGGGCCCTTCTAAGCACCAGACCCTGTGTGGCTGCACAGGTCAATCATCCATGAAGCTGGCCCTCCATGTGTGGTTGGTCCCTCAATGGCTGAGTGTTTGTCATGCATTCTGTGCTGTGTTAGGGCCTTGGGTACAGCCAAAGGGTAAGAAACGGGCTTTGCCTTCAAGGACACTTCAGTGGAGTCTCTAACCTGTCTCCTCCACAAATCTTCCCGGCACGCAAGCCTGGCAGCTTGGAGACTTCTTAGCCTTGTTTCTGAGTCTGGCAGCTCCCGTTACAGTGATGTGTTTGTTCCAATTCAGTAAGAAGATCTTAACCTTAGGCTTGAACCAGGACCCTCCACCACATCCAAACACCTTGCGGCTGCAGAGGATGATCAGATACTCAGCTACACTTTTTGTGCAGGTAAAGCCATTGTGGGGTGGCATAAACATCACGCTTACTACCCTGCTCTTCTACTGCTTAGAAGGCAAACCGTGCCAATGGCTTATTTTCTATTTGTACATTTATTATTTTTTAAGATTATAAATGCATTGTGCCATATTTAGAGAAAAACCTGGATTTCAAAGAAAAGGAGAACTACTTTATTCCTGTGTCCCCAGTACAATCATGCATCATTCTGGTATATTTTCTTTTTTTTTCCATTTGCATTTGTAGTTATAATTAGTGCATATTTTCAAATTTATGTCTTCTCTTTTTATCACTGAATTTTATATCATAAGCACTTTTTTCCCCTTTCATTGGGCATTTGATAGATTCTCATTTTTTGCTGTTATGAGTACTGCCTGATAGACATACTTGTACATAGCATTTCTTCTTTGGGGATAAGCTCCTAAGGGACTATTCCTGGGCCATTGGTTGGGACTAAACAGCTGATTGTTCAAGGGCAGACTAACCTAGGTGGTTAGATCTGAGTTGTTTCTACCTCAGAAAGCCCCTTTTGAGAGTCGCAGTTAACCACCTTTGGGGCTCCCTGACAAAGAGATCTGATAGATAGAGTCCTACTGGGTTAGTTTCCCAACACCATATTGCAGAGAATTAGGCTCTTTCTCCTTTTGGTTAGTGACTATTCCACAGTCATTTGGCAAGGTCTACTGTGTACCAGGCAGTGTTCTAGGTGCTGGATGTACTGCTATGAGCAAAAAGACAAACATTCCTGTTCTAATAAAGCTTATATTCTAAAGGGGCATAGACAGGAAAAACCAAAATACATATCTTATAAGATGGTGAAACATGCTGTGGAGAAATGTAAAGCAGAGAAAAGGGGGGTTCAGATGGAGGCTCACCAATTTAGATAGAGTGGGCAGGGAAAGGCCTCGTTGAGAAGGTGAATAACTAGGATATCTGGTGTTGATCATTCATAAGTAAAAGGCAGCCCATTTGGAACTTGACTCTCTGGCCCGATTTAAGGGTTAGGTTCTTCCCTATTACTGTTTTTTGTTTGTTTGTTTGTTTGTTTTTTTGTTTTTTTTTTTTAAAGATTTTATTTATTTTATTTTTTCCCCCCAAAGCCCCAGTAGATAGTTGTATGTCATAGCTGCACATCCTTCTAGTTGCTGCATGTGGGACTCGGCCTCAGGATGGACGGAGAAGTGGTGCCTCGATGCACACCCGGGATCCGAACCCGGGCCACCAGCATTGCAGCGCGCGCCCTTAACCACCAAGCCACAGGGCCGGCCCCTTATTACTGTTAATTAATGTGACTGCCCGAGGGTGGAGTGGCTTAGCTTAAGCGGACTCTCACCATAGGGCTTTTAAGGTTCATGTTTTTCCTGGAAGAGTTTAAGTGTGAAATTGTCTGTGACTTCCTACAGGAAAAGTTGCTTGGTTTGATGTCACTGCCAACCAAAGAACAGTTTGAAGAACTGAAAAAGAAGAGGAAGCAGGAGATGGAGAGGAAGAGGATCCTAGAGAGACAGGTGAGTGAAGCACAGGGATGCTGGTGGCTGGCTTCTTCCTTGTGGCTCTCTTGAGCACAGGGGCCTCCACAGGCTCATAAGAGGTCCAGTGAGGTTGTAGGAAATCAGAACCTTTCAGGCTCTCTGATTTGCATTTTTCTTCTGTTTTGGCTTCACTCTCATCTGTCAACATCAGGACAATTGTTTGTTTTTCTCCCCAGGTCCAATTTTTCTTTCAGAGGTTCTGCTGATTTTCTCCTGTCCAGTCTAGTACAAGTTGCAAAGGACCCAGACTCTAGGGAGTTCTTTGTAGAACACTTTGGAATATGCAATATTAAACAGAAAATAATGTGTATTTAATAGTGTGAGATTCTAGTGAAGATGACTGGTAATAGACCTCAGAGGTATAAGACAAGTATACAGTCAGTGAATCTAAGATTGAGAAAATCTTATCCCTTAACTTATTATTATTAATTAATTAATGAATTTGCTGAGAAAGATTCGCCCTGAGCTAACATCTATTGCCAATCTTCCTCTCCTTTTTTTTCCTCCCAAAGCCCCAGTACATGGTTGTATATTCTAGTTGTAGGTCCTTCTAGTTCTTCTATGTGAGCCGCTGCCACAGCATGGCTACTGACAGACGAGTGGTCAGTACCTGGGAATCGAATCAGGGCTGCCAAAGTGGAGGGCTCAGAACTTTAACCACTAGGCTATCAGGGCTGGCTTGTCATTTTATTTTTGAAAATCAGAGTTGTTCCTTCTCTCCTCTTGGAAAAAAAAAATGCACAACTTGATTTTATTTATTTATTTATTTATTTTTTTGTGAGGAAGATCAGCCCTGTGCTAACATCTGCCAATCCTCCTCTTTTTTTGCTGAGGAAGACTGGCCTTGGGCTAACATCCGTGCCTCATCTTCTTCCACTTTATATGGGATGCCGCCACAGCATGGCTTGCCAAGCGGCGCATTGGTGCGTGCCCGGGATCCGAACCGGTGAACCCCGGGCCGCCACAGTGGGACGCGCCCACTTAACCGCTTGCACCACCAGGCTGGCCCCCTATAACTTGATTTTAGCAGTTGGCTGTCTTAGTCCTGAGGTGGGCAATTGGAGCCTCACCGGCACAGGGAGAGCAGGACCACAGAGGGCAGCTGATGAAGTGGCCACTGTTGGCCTGGTGACTTTGTTTCTCCTCTTTGGCTTTGGTGTCTCCCCAGGCTGCCCTGGAAGCCCAGCGAAGGCTTGAGGAAAGGCGGAGTGACCTGGCATCTCGTGCAGCCAATGGGGAGGTAGTGTCCCTTCGAGGGGGCCCTGCCCCCTTGAGAAAGGCTGAGGGCTGGCTCCCGCTGTCAGGAAGTCAGGGGCAGGGTGAAGACTCAGACCCCCTCCTCCAGCAGATCCACAACATCACATCATTTATCAGGCAGGCCAAGGCTGCGGGCCGGACAGATGAAGTGCGCACACTGCAGGAGAACCTGCGGCAATTGCAAGATGAGTATGACCAGCAGCAGACAGAGAAGGCCATCGAGATGTCCCGGAAGCAGGCTGAGGAGGAGGATCTGCAGCGAGAACAGCTGCAGATGCTCCGTGAACGTGAGTGGGAACGAGAAAGGGAGCAGTTCCAGGCGGCATCCCTGCACACACGGACTCGGTCCCTGGACTTCCGAGAAATCAGATCTTTTCATCTGGAGCCCGGCAGAGAGCCTCGCACCCACTTTGCTCATGTTTTGGATCTAGGCTCTTCCCCAGCTCAGAGTAGTGCAGCTCCCAAGTCCCCTTCACCCAGCTCAGCTCTTGAGCCCATCAGCGTGTGGTCTGGGCCCCAAGCCCTTGGCCAGGAATTCTTCCCCCAGAGCACCATGTCACAGCAAAATGAGGTGCCCTCCCTAAATCTCTTTGATGAGGAAGACCTCTCCAGCCCCACAGCAGAGGGCACTACCAGCCCTCTTGCTGCAGAGCCTTCCTTTGGCCCTTCAGCCCACATCCTCAAAGAGTACAATCCTTTTGAGGAAGAGGAGGCAGTGGGCAATCCCTTCACTAACCCAGATAGCCCAGCACCCAACCCCTTCGAAGAGGAAGATGAGCATCCCCACCAGAGGCCCTCAAGCCCTCCTGTTCCTGGCAACCCCTTCGAGGAAGCCACCTGTACCAACCCCTTCGAGATGGACAGTGACAGTGGGCCGGAGAGCGAGGAGCCCATAGAGGAGGAGCTCCTCCTCCAGCAGATCGATAACATCAAGGCGTACATCTTTGATGCCAAGCAGTGCGGCCGCCTGGATGAGGTGGAGGTGCTGACAGAGAACCTAAGGGAGCTGAAGCGCACCCTGGCCAAACAGAAGGGGGGCACTGACTGACCAGGGGGTGGGCAGGGCACCTTTGGGCCCAGGGCCTGGCAGGAGGCAGTGGAGCAGAAGAGAGGGTTGGTGGGATTGATGGGGAAGGAGGAAGGATGAGAATCAAGATGCACACAGGTTAGGTGAGGGAATCTGCTATTCTGTGCTGTGCAATTGGGGGTTTTTCCACTACAGTTGAATAATAAAATGGGAAGTAGAACAGGAAGAATCAGCATTCATTTGCTGTTTTTCCTGTATTTTTTTTTTGTAATTGGATTTTCCCTTTAGAAGGGACTTTAAATTTCACTACCAAGATATAACTAAATGCTGTTCTTTTGGACCCAGGGCAGAAGTGGCTGCCATGCACCTTGTGGGTCCATTTGCTCCTGCATAGTCTTTGGTCATTTTGCAGTATTGTAGGGCAGCTGTATGCAGGGCCCTTCCTTTAGCCAGGACAGACGAGATGGATTCCTTTAAACTTTGCTCTGCTCTGGCAGAAGTCTGTCCCCATTAGGCTATGGGTTCCTTTCACCTGGGACTTGCTCTGCCCTGCTGGGCACATCCCTCCTGTGCAATGGAACGGGGAGGTATTGCTATGAAGGCAGTAGTTTAGACCCAGGAGAGCCCAGTACCTCTTTTTTTTAAGAGTGGGTGACAGGGATGAGGTTTCGCCAGGGTCTGTTGCCCTCTCAGTTTAAGTTCTTGTTTATCTCTTTCAGGAAGTTAAACTCCCAGTGCAGGGGTATCTCTGAGTCTGATCATGAGGTTTTTAGAAAATAGGAGTGGTTAACTTTTTGGTTGATAGAGGTTAGGTATTATTTGGGAGAAGAGTCTCTACACAAATGTTGCTCTTTGGAACTGAATGACTGCTGGAACAATTGTCTGTCCCCAGAGAAACCTCCCTCTAGAGTTTTGGAAAATTACTCTAACCTGAGCTTTTTCAAAGGGCCCAGTTTATAATTTAGGAATTGGTGATCAGGAACCTTTTATGGAACATTGTCAGAGTGGACGCTTCCCTGAGTCAGAAGATAAAATAATTGCCAAGGCCAGTTGATCAGCCTTCTTCCTTTTTGGTTCATCCTGTCAGGACAGGGGCACTGGTGAGATATTTTCTTACCAAGGTTTAGTGTTAAGAAACTGAAATGTTTGAAGAGGCACAACCCAGGATTATTCTGATAGCACTGCAGTACTTGAACTCTTCCCCAATTAAGGGCAAAAAGGGAAATTGTTAATTTAGCTCTGGTGCTTTGGTTTACAGGAACATAACCCTTAACTGATGTCTGACATGATACCCAAGTGTGCTCAGCTTTGGATAGAGTTCCTGCAATTATGCTTGTTAATTAATGAACAATAACTGGCCACTAGTCACTTTATACCCCTTAACTAACTCTGGGTCATACTCACATTGGTTCCTGGTGTGAGAGCCAAAATTCATTGTGTTCCGTTCTGGGAAGATGCATCTTGATCTTGGGAATGTCTGAAAAACATTGTGTTGTAAAAATAATCTATATTTGTGTTGACACTATTCACATTTCTTTATCACCCGCTGGATCTTTGGGCTGAATGAAAAGGGCCTGTATAGGGGCGTGAGAATGGGGAGTGGGTGGAGGGTATATGGAAGACCCTTTACATTTGGGTTCTGTTCACAAAGGAATGTGAGTGGGCTACTAACGTCAGCCAGTTACTAACCTTGCTGATTGTCTTGGGGGGTTTTTGGAAGTTGGCACCCCAGCATCTAAAATGTTGCCTGGTACAGGTGTCTTTTCTCCCTTGAGGTCCATGCCCTTCATGCTGTTATTCTGGAGGGTTTCATGGATGGTGCATGCTCCTACCTGCTCAGTCTGTCATTTCTCTCTGACTGAAGAGGAGGAAGCTCTCTGCACCAAAAAGCAGATAGTTCCAGAAGCTAAATGCTGCTTTCCATCATAATTACTTTTCTTATGAGAATATATCTCTTTTAATTAGCTAGTGGTTTCAATTAAGACTAGTTTACTAAACATACCCTTTCCCTGATATCAACCACAGGTAGCAATCTGAAGGAACTAAGAGCATTGAGAACCACACATATAAGAAACATTTTTTAAAACTAAAAAAAAAATCACTGAATATACTAAACCAAACTAAAACCCTTTGATGTGATTGAATTATTCCATGGCTATAGTCTCCTATAATCATAGACATGACAGGAGTTAGAATTCTCTACCCTTCAGCGGTACCATTTCCCAGAATTCACACAGGCACAAAGTTGGATTTACAGAGATGGGTTAACATCAGGGAAAAGATGGCCTATGAACTGCAACCACAACTTCAAGTTCTTACCTCATGTGAATATTTCACCCTGCCTGCAGTCCTTCAAGGCAAACAACTCTATCTCCTCAGAAAATGGGCATGTTCTTGCTACCGTGTTGGCTGATCTCCCTAGCTGTAGATCATATATGGAAGAGACTTTGGGGATTCAGGCATCAAATGAAGTCGGCTTTTCCCTTTTATGCCTTGTTTGTATTTTTCCCTGTTTAATACACTAGGACACTTACTCGTTATACTTGCAGCTCAGTGTGTCTTTGCTGTTCAGATACTAAAATGTACCTGAGTCATCATGAGCCATGTGGTAGGTTGAACATTGGCATAGTTAGGTGAGGGGCCTCGAAGTGAGAAGCTGGTCTCTTTACCAGGTCACAGACTGTGGTAGCAGGTTGTGCTGGTCATCTGACAATGATGGACAGTTTGAGGGTCACTGATTTGCATGCACTACTCTGGGGCCTTGTATTGGAACCTTTTTAAAAAAATAAAATAACAGATGTTAGTGGTTGGGTGTGTGTGTGTGTATGTGCATGCATGTTGCAAGTGAGAATCACCAGATAACATCCCTCCCCTTCTTTCTTAATGACCATCTGAGTATCAGAAGAAGCTATCTGAGTATCAGAAGAAGCTCTAGCTCCTGTGTTTACCTGTCTGGTTAAGGCCTTCAAGACAGAATCAAGGTCACTGGGCTCTTAACAGGATAAATGTGGGTTCCTGTTCTGTTCTTATCCCCAGTTATTCCTGCAGTCTCGATTAAATGAACCATTTTACACAAACATAGTGTAAAGCCCTTTACAATCCTGTCACGCCCATTTCACACTGGAAGAAACTGAGGCCCAGAGAGGATGAGGAACCTTATGGCTGCCCTTAGTGCCAGGCACTGTGCTGCATTTTCACACATTCCTCATGTAGCTCTACCAGCAGACCTGTAAGGTGTAGTTACTTAGGTATTCATCTGAGACTTGAAGAAACAGAATAAGAGAGGTTAGCCTGGCTGGGGTCACACAGCCAGTGGGTGGTGGAATGAGGGTTTAAAGCCCAGTCTGCCTGACTCACTTTGCCCTAAGTAGCAAGGAGGTTTGATCTGGGTCAGGCACAGTGGGAATGCTCAAGCATTATGTCTGGCCCAGAGGTGGCAGGAATGGACAGTGGGGGAAGAGGCTGGGAGCTGCTTAGTGAGTATCTGATATTGACATCACTTGGGCCTTTGAAACTGAGACTTCTCCAGGACCTATGTAGATTAGTAAACCAGGAGGAGATAGTACTATTTAGTGCTCAGCATGGACCAGACAGAATGCCAAGTATTATATATACATGGATTACCTCATTTAATCCTTCCAACAACCCCAGTTTACAGATGAAAAAATGCATGTGGTGTGAGGTTAAGCAGGCTTAGGGTTACACCACTGGGATTCCAGCCCAGATCTGTCTGACTCCAAAACCCACGCTGCCTTGGCCTGCTTCGTATATGGACACACTTGTTTCTAACATGGGATGGGATATTTCATCCTTAGGCAGCGCCTCCTGTGGACGTCAAGATCAAAAGCTCTTCTGCCTAAAACTCTTCAGTAGCCTAGAACAGTTTTAAAAAAGACTTCAGGGCTGGCCCCATGGCTTAGCGGTTAAGTGCGCACGCTCCGCTGCTGGCGGCCCGGGTCTGGATCCCAGGCGTGCACCGACGCACCGCTTCTCCGGCCATGCTGAGGCCGCGTCCCACATACAGCAACTAGAAGGATGTGCAGCTATGACATGCAACTATCTACTGGGGCTTTGGGGGAAAAAAATAAATAAATAAAAAATTAAAAAAGACTTCAGAAAGGACTTCTGGTTTTAGCTCAGGCCTGCAAAGAGTTTGGAAGTTGTCACTTCTGTCCTTACAACAAGAAAAAGCTGGACAAACTTAAAATCAATGAATTGTCTTGAACCCATCAGAGAACTGAGTTTGCAGGGCAAAGTGCCACCTTGAAATCTGGAGAGATGATTCCTGAGAATCACAACTGAGATCTGCTTACCCGGAGCAGAAGCCACTGGAGCCGTAGCTGGTAGGAACGCTTGATGAATTCCTGGAAGCTGAGTGTGGACTAGCAGGAGAGTGAGCAACTGCTGGGGGCCACAGCCTAAGGAAGATCCTACACTTGCATGGGTTTTAGCTCCAGGAACCTCACGTGGTTTTCACAGCTCAGAGCTGAGAAAGATTCCCTGGTGGCTCTGGCAGGGGAAGGGGAAGAGTAATCTTTGTAAAATAAACTCAGAGCATTCTGTGTAACAGAGGCCTATTTCCCAGGGGAAAAGACCTTACCAGAGTCTAGTGTCACCTGGGAGAAGGCCATTTCTCCTACTCCAGCCCCCTTTAGCCTTCCTGTCTCATCTAAGTGTGTGTGTGTGGGAGGGGTATAAAAGAAAACTCGTGTTTTTCTATACACTCCACTTCTCACTTGTGGCACTAAATGGGTGGATTTTTTCCCCACACCAACCAGTTCTTCAACACCAGCTGTGTCCAATAATTCAGTTCAATTCTGACACTATCTACCTGGAGTTAGCGTCAGATCCCACACATTAAGGGCTCAATCCCACAAGACTGCCCCCTCTTCAGATGCCAGTCACAAGAGTGGGCCTCTGGTACTTCTGACTGACTGGCTATAAATTGAGGGTTCTCATAACCTCCTCAGGATTGATAGTTTGCTATAACGGCTCACAGAACTCAGGAAAACAGCTTACTTACTGGATTATTGGTTTATTGTGAAAGAATACAATTTAGGAACAGCCAGACGGAAAAGATGTATAGGGCAAGGTATGGGGGAAGGGGGGCAGAGCTTCCATGCCCTCTCTGGGCACATCACTCTCCCAGCTCCTTGATGTACTCACCAACCCGGAAGCTCTCCCAACCCCTTCAGGTAGGGTTTTTTTAATGGAGGCTTCATTACGTAGGCATGATTGATTAAACCATTGGCTATTAGTAATTAACCTCCAACCCCTCTCACCTCCTCAGAGGTTGGGGGGAGTGGAGCTGAAAGTTCCAACCCTGTAATCACATGGTTGCCCTGGCAACCCCCCCAGCC